CATCGTTGTGATTTATGGACCTGGAACTCTGGTATGTCTGACACTGGCTTTGGACTTTTAAACCTGTTTGAACCGTGCTGCTTGTTTTGCTCGGCTTGACCTCGGACTGCTCCTGGACTTTGCTTGCTTGCATCACGCCCCCTGGCCCTGCCGTGACATCTATTATTTCAAATGGAATGTCTTTTAAGACTCTGATTTCTTCGTCTTTGATTTTTAAGGTAGTCCCATTTGTAGTCTACAGCATGATGTCTCTTGTTGATCTTTTAGAGAATCTTGGCACTATCTCCCCCAACAGGCTCTTTTTCTTAATAAATTCTGGATATTGTTTATTTATTATTTATTACTTTCGACTTCTATACTGCTCCATTCCCACAGGCTCGGAGCGGTTTACATTGTAAATTACTTCACCTATCTAAGGCCACAGTATATATATATGGGGGAAGGTGACTGCCTACTGGCACCCAGGCAGCAAGGCTCTGTTGTCGTCGTCTGCTCTTCAAGTGGGCTCTGTTGTTGTTGTTCGGCTTTTCCACCTCCTGGCGTCTCGGTACAGGTCTTTATTACAGCAACTCCTTCTGGCGGTGCAGGTCTTATGTCTGATAAACCAAATCCAAATGTCTGATAGACCAAATCTTCCCAGGCATTCTGGATATGTCCGATAGACCAAATCCAGATCGCTTTGTAATGTGTCCACCATTAAACCTGTCATTGGGGCCAATGCTTCACTTAATATTTCCTTCAGATTCTCATCTTGCTGTTCAGGAACACCTTGAAATCTCAGAACATACACAGATAATACCAGTTGTAGTCTTAAAAGTTGGTTTTTATCAGAGAATCCTTGTTTTTCCATCACCTCCAGTCTTTGATTAGTCTCTTTTGTTTTGGCTTCAACTTTTTTCACTGATTTTGCAGTTTCCTCTGTTTTTAAAATCATCTCTTTAAGTTGATTTTGGATTTCATCCAACTTCTTATTGGTGTTAGTCATCTGCTCCAGCAGAAGGTGCGATGCTATAGCCAACATGTTCGTAAAGTCAATATTTACTTCGGTTTAGTGGCTGGATGTTTTGATTTTGTAGTTCCAGGAGAGTGTCTCAGTCTCGTCACCATCTTTTCTGCCCGCCCAGTCATTGTTTATATTTCAAGGAAAGTTTTCAAAAGTCAGCAAAAGTTGCTTCAGAAGCTCGCTTTGGTTAGATTTGTACTTTGCCTGATTCAATCAACCCTCGCCGTTTCTCCTGGCCCGTCTCACTAAACAAACTCGCTTAAAGATGTTGGGGGGGGGAGATGTGAGCTAGCTCCCTCCCCCTCCATTGATACCGTACCGTTCGGGGCTTCAGATATACGCTTTGCCGAATAACCAGTTATAAAGGAATTAGCACTCACGCTTCATTCCATGCCTGCTGCAGAGGTAAGGAGAGCTTTATTTTTGTTGGATCACTTGTTCACTCGCCCGGTGTATGCCTTAGTGCCATAATGGTGCCGCGGTGATGGGACCTATCAGAGCTCAGAAGTGCCTCAATTCCTTGGCCGTAGCCTGGGGAGAGGCAACCTCCAGTGCCCCAGGCTGGGAGTTCCCTACAAGGGCTCCGGGAGGGGTCCAGATCAACTGGCCCCCCTCCCGTCCGCTGCATCATGGGCGGCTCTTTTCAGAGCCGGAAGTTGCCGAAACCGTAAGTCCTTTCTTCATCAGAATAATTCTTATCTTACAGTTCCATATAAAGTGCATCCATCAGTTTTCAAACTTCAAATGAGCAGTCATCAAATCCTAATACTAGAAGAACCCTTTTGGTATTAGGATTTGATGACTGCTCATTTGAAGCTTTATATGGAATTGTAAGACAAGAACTATTCTTATGAAGACTTACTTGAAACGGGAATGAAGCCAGCAACCTGTCGAGATCTGTTACTGTCTCGTTCATCTGTTTGATAGAAGAGCTGTAAATTAGAGATTTGTCATTATGTTACTTATGCATAAGAAGGACTGTGAACTGCACGTATCATTACTTATGATTCATAACATATAAATAAATTGGCAAGAACTTTTTATATGATTGAAACACTATAAGGGACATTTGTAATGTATGTATTATGTTATATTTATGGACTATGCACTATGTTGTACTATGCTGTATTTATAGGTTATTTTCATTATTATATTTAGTTATTTATGGGCTATTATTTATTCACATGGACCTTCTTCTATCTTGGACTTTTTCCTTATTTCCGTGTTTTTCTTTTGTGTGTAGATTTAATTGTAGGCAGGTGTAGAATTAACTGGCAGGTTATGCATTGCAGTATGATGTCATAAATAGCTTGTAAGAACTAGTATTCAAAGAAAAGGAACTGGTAAGTTTTGGAATGCAAAATTAGCATATGTATTATGTTATTCTTAATGTTTGACACTTGATAAACATATGAAATCCTATTAGTTGGGCAATGAATCACCATTTCTAAGTATTTAGTTTTAAAAAGTTATGTTACTTTTAGTACATTTTCTTATGGGTTAATTTCAATAGTAATCTATGGATTGAGGCATCTTCTACACCAATGTTTGACCTACTGTAATAACAACAGGTTAACTTTGAATTATGAGAAAACAAAGATCTTAGTCTTTTCCAACTCCTGGAAACAGTCCTCATGGACAATTCAGGGAAATCCCATTGAGCAGGTCAAATCATTTAAATACTTAGGGATCAATTTCTACTACAATGAGAGCTGGGCTACTCATCGCAAATGTGCTACTACTTTAACAAAAAACAGTGCTGAGGCCATGGCCCACTTTTTCTACATGAGAGGCAATAGATATGTCCCAATGGCCTTAAAAGTCTTCAATTCAAAATCTAGTTCACAATTCCTATATGGCGCTCCCATTTGGATAAGTGCAATTAACCAATCAGCAGAGGGTTTACAAGCCTTTTTTTTTTTGCGGAAAATCCTTGGACTTCCTAATTGTGTCCCATATGCCACGATGTGTCTTGAAACCGGTCAGATGTCCCTGGAAACTCCGGCCTGGCTTTTGACCATCAAATTTTGGTTGCGCCTTCTGTTTAATCCTGACCCGGATTCTTTTACCTTTTTAATGCTGACAGATCATTGTAAACCTAATTGGCTGAAATTAGTCCAAAAAAAATTAGGTCCTTAGGAATACCTTTAGATCCGCTTTATTTATTATCTGCCTCCACAATATTTCATACAATCAAACGCAGACTTTTAGACATTCAGTTTCAGTGCCTGACTGAGGCTGCTAGGAAAACTTGTTTTCTAATTCATCTGGGATTACCCCAGACACTGGGCCAGTCAGATACTTATTTTTGCTCTTTAACTGACCCCCATCAAAGAAGGGCATTTATGTTAGCCAGATTTAATGTATTGCCATTGGCTATCTTCTCTGGAAGATGCCATAAAATCCTTTATGAACTTAAAAGACAATGCCCTTGTAGTCAGGGTGCCATCAAATCTGTTGCCCACGTTCTTTTAAATTGCCTATACTAAGACCTGGGATAAATTTCTGGACTCCCTTCTTTTTACATGGCATGGTCTCCCTGAGAGTGTCAAAGTCCAGTTGCTACTCTTGAGGCAAAATTCTTCTCTAACTTTTAATGTTGCCTGTTTTTTTCAATCTGCAATTCAAATCAGGGAAACGATAAACTGATCAGGTTTTTTTCTTGGTGTTTGTTTGTATGACAGCCACATTTTTGATGTATTCCTAAATTTTAATGTACTTTTATCTCTGATATGCCAATAAAGGATGTCTGTCTGTCTGTCTAGTAATCTATGGACAGTCCCATTACTGGGCAGAATAAACTGAGTTCCAATACAATACAAAAACCCACAATACTATTTTGGCATTTCAAGGATATTAATATTGTAACAGCATCACAGAAAGAATATCTAGCTTAAGGTTTAGGGCCATCCATTTCTGTAGATGAAGTAAGTAACTAGGGCCAGGATACTAGAAGGACCACCTCCTCCCATACTGTGCAAACTTTCTCTTCTTAAGCTATCCTTTATCTGTTGCCATCTAGAGTGGTAAGGTGGGTGATAACCAGAGACAGGGCTTTTTCAGTGGTGGCACATTGAGTTTGGAATGCACTATTCCTTGAGGCTTGCCGGGCACTTTTCTTACTTTCCACCAGGCACAGGTCATATAATTTTTTCCAGGCTTTTAACAAATGGTATCTAACTATTTTAATGCTGTTTTTATGGTCTGTTCCAAGCCTGAGGATTGTTTTACTAATATAACTTTAGACTCTTTGATTTAGTTTATGTTTTATGTCCTGACCTATTTTTATTCACATGTTATTATTGGTTGGAGCTGCGGTGGCTCAAGTGGTTAAGACGCTGAACTGCAGGCTGTGGAAGGTCAGTAGTTCAGCGGTTCAAGACCCGGGTGCCGCAAGACAGGGTGAGCTCCTGTCTCTAGTTCCAGCTCCTGCCAACCTAGCAGTTCGAAAGCAAGAAATTGCAAGTAGATAAATAGGGACCACCGGTGGGAAGGTAACAGCGTTCCGTGCACCTTGGTGTTTAGTCATGCCGGCCACATGACCACGGAAACGTCTTCGGACAGCGCTGGCTCTTCGGCTTTGAAACGGAGATGAGCACCGCAACCCTAGAGTCGGATTCGACTGGCTTTCGAGCAAGGGAACCTTTACCTTTACCTTTACTATTATTGGTTGGTCTTGTTTTATTGTTTTATTTGTGAGCTCTCTTCAGCAGATAGTGGAGAGTTAGCAAATACATTTTCTAAATAAGCTATCAAATCAAATCTAAGCCAATCAAAATGTGTCTCCTGTATAAATTAATACAAACCATTGTATGGGAGCTCATTAAAAACAACAACACAGGTGGACAGAGATGGGTTTACACACTATTCAAAGGATTCCTACTTTTGATTTTTTCTCTTGAAACAAGTGCATCAAATTGTATCATATGGACAGCCCTGTTAAGGTGCCAGTAAAGTATATGAGTAAGCCTATTTGTCATGCTTCCATGTTTCTTACCTTCCAGATTCAAATGTGAACCATGTTGAGTCCCGTCCATATCTCCTTAGAGAACTTAGAGGCCACATGACAAGCTTCACTTTAGCATTGTGGATATCCCAGAGATAAATGTTTTCATGCGTGATCTGCATTGTACATTCCCCATAGATATCTAAATTTGGTGTAGGCATAAGGTATACGTTGAATCGCTCTGAGGGAAAAAAATAAAAATGGATGAGATAATGGTGAAAATTATGAACTAGCTTGAATTATTACTACAGTTTATCATTTGTCTAATTACAGAAGTATATGCATAATAAATTCACTTAAATACATCAATGTAATTCTCAGAACTAGTTTATTCATAACACATGTAGAAAGACAGCTGAGACCTTATTATCATTAGTAGTAATGTTTAACAATATAATGAAATAGTTAAACATTGTCTATTATCAGTGACCTTTGTAAAATGTATAAACCATTCATTCTGAGATAATTAGCTTGCTATTATTATGATTTCAACTAGCATGTTATTTTGGTTGGGACTTTTTCAAAGCAACCCCCCCCAACCCTGCATAATTCATTAAAAATAAGTACATCTGTGTTCTTCTATGTCATGAAAATCTAAGAAAACCCCCCCAAAACCCAACAATGGAGCTATGCTTTAGCTTTGGTGACTCACTGAACTCAACCATAATTCAAATTTGGGACAGAACACTAGCCACTCCGAATATACTATTATAGAGTGATTTAGGGTTTGGTGTAGGAAAGGTGGCAATACACATTGTATCTGATTGTTTCAACTCATCTGGAGGGCCCTGTGGGGGGACTCTGATACAGGAGCATACTATGCATGGATCTCTGTCATTCCTCCCAGGATTTTGCTTCAGACAAACAGTGTCACTGAAGAGACAGATTGGGAGTTTACAGTACAAACTCCCCCAATCTGGAACTTTTGAACTAACTGATGAGTCAGGCCCAAACCTCTCCGAAGTGGCAACATATTTATTTATTTAATTAATTTATACCCTGCCCTCCCCGCCGAAGCAGGCTCAGGGCAGCTTACAAGGACATTTGGTGTCATGAAACAACTTAAAATCATCTGAATACAATACACAATACAGTTAAAAAAAAATAAAATCTTGTCATCTCTCCTCCCTGCTGCAGTCACCCCTTCCCCAATCTGCTGAAACTGGTGCAGCAAACTATATTTATTTATTTTATTTAAAACCTTTTCACGCTACCTTTCCACCTGTTCAACCTCCTGAAGGTGGCAAACAGCAAAAACATTAGAACATATTTTAAAATGTGTCGATGATGATGATGATAATTGGTCACAGTCAGATATTTGACTGCTAGATGGTGTACTGCAGTTTGAGATCTAGCCAAATTCTTGGGAATTGCAGAGAAATCTTTGCAGAATTCTTGTTGTTTCAAGCAACACTGTCTTCTGGAGCTGAGCTGATGTTATTTGCTCAATGCCCAGAATGTCCAGGTGTTTCTTGAGACGTCTAGGCACTGCTCCAAAGGCTCTAGTGACAACTGGCACAATGGTAACCTTTTTCTCCCAGAGACACTCTAACTCTATTCATAGGTCTTGGCATTTCAAGATCTTCTCTTGTTCTTTCTTTTCTATTCTGCTGTCTCCTGGGATTGCAATATCAATTATCCAAACCCTATTTCTCATTCTATCTATAATTGTGATATCAGAGGTGTTATGCTCCAAGAGTTTATCTGTTTGCAATCAGAAGTCCCAAAGAATCTTTGCTGCATCATTTTCCATGATCTTGTCTGGTTTGTGCTCCCATGAATTTCTGGATGATGGTAAGCCATATTGCTTGCAAAGATTCCAATGCAACATAGCTGCAACTCTATTGTAATGCTCTTTATAGTCAGTTTGAGCAATTTTATAGTCAGTTTAGGCAATTTTACTGCAGGCACTGAACATGTGGTCAACTGTTTCATCCTTTGTCTTGCAAAGTCAACATCTGCTGTCATCACTGTTCTTCTGAATCTTGGCTTTCCTACTAATTGTTTCCAGTGCCTGCTTTTGTGCAGATAGAATGAGTCCTTCTGTTTTTTTTCTTCAAGTGTCCATTTTGGAGCCTTACATTCTCAACTTTATCCTCTATGTCCTTCAGATATTGCCCATACAAGTGTTTTTGTTTCTAGTCTTCGAAGTGAGTTTTGATTGCAATCTTTTTGTAATCTTCTTTGGTTTCTTTAACCTTAAATAAGTCTGCCTAGTACACTTCAACTAGAAGCTTCTCTTTGATTTTGTAGTCATTCAATGCTTGTTTTTCTTCTTCAACTGCTTGGTTAACTTTCAAGACCTCTTCCACCTAATTTTCTTGGTAAGTAAAGATGACCAGCATCACTTCTAGGCTGCAGTGAGTGATGCATTGTTATGATCTTGCAAGTATTGTGACCTATTGCTTCTAATTCTGCTTGTTTCCAATCTAAAATGCCAGTTATGTATCTTAGAACTGGGACTGCCCACATGTTAATTGCCTTTATAGTGTTGCCTCTATTTAATTTTGTTTGCAATGTCTTTTTAACTTTGGTAATATTTGTTGGTTGTATTTTTCTTAACAAGGGTATGTTTGATGATGTCAGCTTCCAAAATTCCAAGATACTTGTGGTTTTCTTCAGAGCTCAATGTTTTGATGTTGTTTTTCGGCATCTTGATTTGTTCAATGATCTTTCCTCTATTTATTGGTAAACCTGCACATTTATCAAGGCCAAATTCCATTCATATATCCTTGCTGAATATTTGAACTGTATTTAGTAAAGAATTAATCTCTGATTATGACTTTCCATACATTTTTAAGTCATTTATACATAGTAAGTGTGAAATCTTTGGGCCTGTATTATTATTATTATACCAAAAAAATCAGCAAAACACAAACACATAGATATAGACACATTAAAATGAAATTATCTTTTCTCAGGGTCTTGTCTTTCACAGTGGACCTTCAGGATCTAACAAGTCAGCAGCAGTTGCATTTTTAGTTGGCTTCATTGCAATGGGAAAGAGAAGAGGGTAATGAAATGTCACAAGTGACCTGAGAAGCAGAAGTAGAATGGACAAAAAGGAGGGGTTACAAGAGAGTTGGGGAGACTTCTCAAGCATTATAGTATTCCCCGTGACAACATCAAGAATGTATTTTATTTTATTTATTTATTTTTATTTTATCTTACTGAGACTCAAAGTAGATTACACAGTGTAAATCAGTCAACAGGACGGGACATCCAATAAGGAATGTAATAGAATTTATTTATTTTTTGCCATCACACCCGCCCTATAGTGATTCCATAGGATTTCCAAAGGAAGAGATTTCAGAGGTAGTTTGCCATTGCCTGCCTCTGTGTAGCAACCCTAACCTTCCTTGGTGATTTCCCACTCAAGCACTAACCAGGGCTGATCTGAGATCTAATGAGATCAGGCGAACCCGGGCTATTGGATTAAGATTACAAAAATTAATGTCAAGTAGAAATCTAGAACAAGGCTGAAACAAAACCTAGATATTAATATGGCATATTAAACAATACAGAAATTACATACTAGGGTAACACATACAGCAATGGACAGTACGTACTATACACACTAGTACAGTCCACATTCTTTCCCCCTTTATTAAAGCATTCTTTCCAAATCATTCTGATACAAAAAGCCCAAACCTTTGTAAAAATGTCCTCCTGCATAATTCAGTTTTGCCTTGCTTGCAGAATACCAGGAGAGTGGGAGCCTCCCTGACATCACCAGGCAGGCTATTGCATGAGGTGGGGGCCACAACAGAGAATGCACATGTAAGGGCAGTTGTTGATCTTGCCCATTTGCAGGATGGCACCCACAGAAAACCCTGCTCAGATAAAAGGAGCTCTTGTGGCAGAGCATGGGGGAGAGAAGGTCTTGCACACGAGGGTCCAAGGCCATAAAGGGCTTTACATGTGATATCCAATTCTTTGAACTGAACTGAACGAGGCTAATATGTACACCTTGCCTCTGATAACTGAGCTGTGGCATTATGCACTAAGTGGAGTCTCTGAGTTGACTTTGAGGGGAGACCTATGTAGAATGCATTACAGTAGTCTAGGCTCGATGTTACCATGACATGGATCCAGCTATCAGATCAGCCTGATATATGAAGCTCAGAATGGCTGCAAGTATAAATGAACTAATGTAGATGTGACCTGAATTAATCTATTATTTCACTCTAGGTAGCCCATTCCTAAATTATCCCAGACAAATATGCCCAAAACACAGTTGCCTTAACTACATATTCATCATGGCTCTGCATTATTTATATTCTACTCAAGACGGACCCAATGCTGACATCAGCTCATCTACATCTTGCTTTTGTCTGTCATCTTTGACACAGATGCCCTGCTCCCCCAATCTGGCTACTCTGGTATCCCATCCGGACACTTTCATTGACTTGGGTCTTCATCAGATGGACATTTGTGACTGAAACTACTCACAACCTTGTAAAGTTAAAATTCTGAAATATTTAAGCTAGATAGTGTCTGCAAACTTGTTCAGAAAATCAGCTGCTTCTAAGGATCGAAAAGATGTTCACAAGTGAGTGCAAGCATTTGAAGGGGTATCTTGGCTCCATTGGTGCAACACTCTCCCTACCCATCATTTTAGATTACCTTTGAATTCTTTTTTTAAACAAAATTTGGTACTTGTTGATAGTGTGAGGAGAAAAAAAATATGTCAAAAATGAGCCAGATAGGTAATGCAAAATGTTACAAAGTGAATGGAAATTGAGAAAGGTTTACTTGAGGAGTCTGTGCAGCCAAAGAACTCTTCCATATAAAGGAAGGTTAAAGATCCCAGGGCTATAAGTAAACTTGTCATTCCCAATATTTTTTCTGTCTCAGCCCATTTAATTTTGGCCTACTGATGCCTTCTAAGCTCATTCACTCAATGTCACAGCTATCTATTCTCTTCTTTGAGGCTATATTTCTCATTAATCACACTAATGGGTGTCAGTCTTGCAACATGTACTCTAAGGCTAAATTCCCAAGTGTTGCATCTCTCTCCACTGCAGGATATTCTGATTTCATTTTGTGCAGTTTGGGTTTTCAGTGCTTTCAGCACAAGTGCAGTGTGCCTTGAATGTGCTACTCTTTCCAATTGCTTAAATTCATATTCCCTTTTTTAATCCAAGTGCATCAGCTTATGTTTCTTTTCATAGTGCCATT